GGGGTTAAATATGGGGGTAGGGGTGCGGGTGGGGTTAAATATGGGGGTGCGGGCAGGGTTAAGTATGGAGGTAGGGGTGTGGGCGGGGTTAAATATGGGGGTAGGGGTACGGGCGGGGTTAAATATGGGGGTGCGGGCGGGGTTAAGTATGGAGGTAGGGGTGCGGGCGGGGTTAAATATGGGGGTAGGGGTGGGGTTAGGGTTAGGGCAACACTCTCGGTGGAGAGGCTGTATGAGTGAGCAGAAAGGAATGGGTGGGGCTGCCCTCTGAAAGTCCATGAGTGGAATCATCCGTTATGGAATCATCAAGTCGAGATGTTGTTTTTTTTAAAGATGAACTTTGTGCTCTTGTAAACAATTCAATGATAAAAACATTGGTTGTATATGTTAGATATGAATGGTGATGACACAGCAACTCACACCTACAAAAAATTAAACAAATAGTCGAATCTTCGTCTTCAACAGCCAAATCAGATTCTAATCAAAAGAAATGTGATTCGGGTACAGCCCTAGAGATTGGCATTCCCAAAATCTGCAGCATATCTCATGAAAAATATTTAACACTCACCAGCCATCAACCAGGGAAGATCATCTTGACTGTAGGCGAGTGTACCTACTGAAGTCCTGTTAGTCTCTAAGAGTGAAATTGGGAATGGAACTGGAAATTGGTTCTTGAGTTCTACGAAGGGCAAAACGGCCTTTAACTAATCAGTCTTTGTGAAATATTGTAGTAAGTATTTGAAAGCATTCACGTTCGTGTACAAATGATTGCATAGTAAGTGTGATTCCCTTGAAAGAACCAAAAAGGTCAGAGATCTTCCTTGAAAATCCCAAAATGCAGACGGTGCAGTCTGGTTGATTGGAGAGTGTTTAAAGATGTTCTGTATTGACTGTGTCTCTTTTCTCTCCTCTGACTGTTACTGTGCTCTTTGCTGCAGAGACCTGCCTCAGTATGGACACAAGCAGTGGCAGTCCTACTTTGGACGGACTTTTGACGTCTACACTAAGCTGTGGAAATTTCAGCAGCAGCACAGGTTATTTCCATCTCTTATTGCTGTCCCGGTTAGAATAGGTGGATGGAGGCTGCTGTGTTTCATGTATGTAGTTCAGAGTACAATCGGCTGTCAAACTAAGGGCGGTGTTATGATTCATCACAAGTTAAAATATTACAGATGGGTTTACAAACAATACAGCACTGTTCAAACTTGTTAGGACCAGTGTTCGCTGTATTCCCATTCACATGAAATATGATGCAAATAAATCTCAATGAGGCCAAATTGAGACATAGTGTAAGTCTGTCAGTTCATTAACACAGAGACGATGCACATGTCATAGGTGATGACTGTCACAGTGTCATTTGCCAGATGTTCTGTCCCACTCTGGTTGAATAATTTCATTGTTTGGTGCTCAGTATCATATGTTTTCGTTTACTGACAGGCAGGTCCTGGACAGTCGCTATGGCTTGAAGAGATGGCAGATTGGGGAAGTTGCATCCAAAATTGGACAGCTTTACTACCACTACTAGTAAGTCAAATTATGTCTCGTCCAAGACATAGACATCTCTGTCTCACTGTTGTCTGTTCAGTTATAGATTATTATTACTGAATACATTATTTTAATATGATTTCATGATTTACTGTATGCTCTTATCATCCATTAGTGTAGTTTATATAGAATTAAAACAATTATTCAAAATCAAGGTATGGCACAGATAATTGAGGTACATTTGTGCGCACGACTCCTACATGTTCAGTGTAGGGAGACACGAGATATACTGCATGACAAATGTCTTGGGCTGGATACTAGCAGGCTAAATATGTGACCTGTCGAGGAGCTACAGCCAATGAGTGAGCAATACACGTGTTGAGGGGAAACTTTGGGGAAGGGTCGCCTGTTGGTCGTCCAAAAAACAGGAATTCGACATTAAAAGCAAAATTTAGAGCACTTTATTTTACTAAAGGATGGAGTGTTTTATTTTATAACTGTATTGAAGCACTTTCTTTTATTAAAAAAGATTCATTAATATTCATTGAAGTTTGGAAATTTTCTTATGAATTGTTGAAATTTGATTCATCCACCACATGATAAGACACTTATGCTGATGATGAAATCTCACAAAGGTTCACCTCCTCATGAACAGGTGGCAATCATCAGGCTGAAAATAGAGATTTTTGACAATTTTGTGCAGTTAAGAGAGTTTGGTGAAACACTCAAGAAAGTAAGCGAGGTTTAGGATAAGAAGGCAGCGGTGCTCTTGCATGAGGTCCATTGTGTTTTTTGAGAAACACAGTGGGCCCTATTTTGATCATGCGAGTACAGTGATAAGTGCAAAGCAGCAGGTCTGGGGCGTTCAGACTGTCCAAGCGGACCTGCTACTTTGGTTCATGTAGTATGTGCAGCAATGCTAAGAGCTAAAGGGCTTAGTGAAGGGGAATTTAGATAACAGGGTGGGGGAATAACGAATGAAATTGAAATGCTATGAATGTATTGAATTGTGCTCCACTCCGGAGATAGTAACACAACTTCTTCTTTCTCATCCTGACTGGCAGCCTTCGTACCTCAGAAACCAGTTACCTGAATGAGGCCTTTTCCTTCTACTCAGCCATCCGTCAGCGCTCCTACTACTTTCAGGTCAACAAAGAGGACAGGTAAGTTCCACAAATCTTTTTCTTCAAATGTTGTGAGTTGCAATTTCAGGAAATAGATGCCTTTGCTTGGTATATAATAAATTCCTTGGCCATTCATTTTAAAGATTTCTTTTGTTTTCTGCTTTTTTCAAAAACTGAGCCAAATATCACTTTTCCTAATCCATAGATTACTGATATGTGCAGCAAATGTAGTGTCTAGGGTCTAGTTTTATAGGATAGGGCTGCTTATATTCTATATTTTTGTTATTGTCACCCAATCCCACCAAAAGAGCATCTTTCAATTCTTTGACTTTCCCTAGTCAGTCAGTGGCTCTCAGCCACCAGTGTATTGGTTTCTATTGAAGATGTAGATCTTTTAAAAACAAATAGTATAAACGCTCGGTTTGGATAAACTGTTTTCTTTAACAACTGGTCATTATAGTTTTTAGTGAATGGTATTTAAACAGGAGGAAATATTGCATTAATTGGGGACTATTTTCAGCAGCGTATTAATCCACATTTGGTGATTTGGTGAGTATTTAGAGCAACAGCTTGGCTCATGATGTATGTTAATGAGTAACAATGGAGCTCTATGGCACAGAGGAAGAAGACATATCAAGCTTTGATACAAACACAATACTTAGTAGTTAGTAGATGGATTCGTTGTTGGTTTTGGTCTGCATGGGATTTGTTGACAATATAATATAATGTATGACATAATAAAAACAATTCTGAATCATCAGACTTATTCTTTACATTTCTCAATCACAGACACAGGCAAGCGAACTAAGATTATCAGTTATATGCAAAACACAAATATGCTGAATTGAAACATGAACCATCAGTGTCATCAGTAGCCTTAATGACCTCGGCTTTAAATGGGCTTGTCCTTTAATGTGCATTTGTTTGAAGTTCATATTGTCTTCTCTTATTTCTTATCAGGCCAGAATTAGTAGTGAAGAAGCTTCGATATTATGCTCGCTACATAGTCGTCTGTTTACTGCTGAACAAGATGGACCTAGTCAAAGTTTTGGTGAAGGTATGAAAGTTTTTTGTATTTATACTGAGTGATCAAAACTTTTGCACCCCTGGTTTTCTGAGGAGCATGAAGCCATCTCCTGCACCCGTCATTTACCATTCATAGCATTCATCTCAGTGTCTCGCTATGGGACGATTGGGATTGACATGCAACAAACCAAACACAAACCAAGGACTTTGCGTTTCATGGTTGGGGCCTCAACCCCGAGTCCACCAGGAGTCTTAGAAATGAAAGTAGTCCCCCACCTGTATATTTTCGAATATGAAATAACAATCCTTTGAGACCTATGCAGCATTTTTATAATTCATTTAAATTGACCATTAGAGTTATTGGTGCAGTTTAAGCTTTTAAAATGAGTTTAGTTCTCTGTTGGCCCGAAGGGCCATCCATCGTTGCCTAGAGCACAGTGCTGGGTATACCGGTTATAATTTGCCCTGTGATGTTCATTTTCATATACCGCCATACTGAAAAATGACCGCAGTGAGCGCTACGGCCTCAGAGCGTACTCTTCTCATTAATGGTTTGAACTGTAACACAACAATAAATAACCCACAACTAACTCTTTAACAGCATAAAACACCATGGCACACATCAATTTGTGACACATAAACAATTTGTAAAACGAATCTGTGTTCATTTACACATTTGCATCGCTGAATGGCATGGTGGGTAATGTCATAGCTGCTAGCTAGTAGCATAACAGTCTGTTAACAGCTGGGAGAGGCTCTGTAGAAGAGATGGAGGATAACGACACTGGAGACAAGCTAGAAGAACTTGTGTCCTAGAGAAGAGTTGTGTCTAGTGTTTGGACTTTCTTTTGTTTTTTTAATCTGACGTAGCCACTGTTGTTGCCGGTGGTGCTAAAACTAGCAACGTTCATCGCCTCATTGCCCATTGCCTCCAACTCCTTATTATAATCCAGCATGAGCAGCTCTTTGACAAGTGGATTCAACAGAAGGACTGTTCTATTCTGAGAATACGTGGGGAGAAAATCCCTTAGTGAGACATCAAAATGAATGCACTGGCTTTAAGAAGAACAACAAAACGTTCCACTTTCCCCTTTCACAATACTGGGAAAAGTTTGCCTGCTTCCTGAAATTTCTATGAGACCTATTTTATGAATTGAAAAAAGTGTATTTTTAAATTAGCATGAACCTTGATGGAACCTCATGTTTGTCTGCTACCTGCAGGAGTTATCTGAGGAAATTGAAGATTACACACAGCGATTCAACACAGAGGACCAATTGGAATGGAACCTGGTTCTCCAGGAAGTGGCAGCTTTTGTAGAGGTAACTGACCCTCCATATGTAACACGGCACATTAGTCCTTTCAATGTTGTCTATTTCATTGTCCATAATGCAGGTTGCAAATCTGTGTGATTAGATTGTCCTGAGGTCCACTGAGTCCTCGATGTATCTTATGAAAATATAGTAACAACCCATAATTGTGTGAGAGTTGGTTGCCTACATAAAAACAGTAATGCAGCATTTCATCTTTCTGGACTGAGATCAGGAATTTCAAATAGTCCCTTTTGTGAAGTGTCTGCTGCCTGTTTCATTGAATCAGCTGTGGCTCACTGTTGTTTCTCTCTTTTTGTAAAACAGGCAGATCCAGTGGTAGTTCTGAATGACAACAATTCTGTTGTTGTCACCAGCAATCGGCTGCAGGAGGAAAGTGTGCCTCCACTAGAACAAGGCATGGTGGTTGGGCAGCTCGTCCTTGCAGATGCACTAATCATCGGCAACTGTAACAACCAGGTTTTAACCCACAATTTCTAATTCACAGTTCCTAACAAATCATACACAACATGGTTGTTGACTGGTCTTATTGGGGGAAAAAACTCTCAAACAAACAATATCAAACTCACCTTTTCAGTATAGAACTTGATAGTATTACCTGCAGATCTGTTGTCTGTGATGTTTCGTCTTACATTGCTCTTGAATGATAGTTTCACTACTGTATGGATGGAAGTATATCTAACAACTGTCTAAACCACATTTTGATAGATATGCATGTCCTATTAGATTCATGGTGCATGACATGTACTGCTCCAGAGATTAGTTTTTAAACACATTGTACGTGTTAGAAGATAATTGCTTAAAACAGAGGAAAAGATTGTGATCCATCTTCTTATATCGGCTGGTTTCTTCAGCAGATCATCTATTTCCATCTAGTTGTTAACCCGATCCAGTATGTGACGGGGAGACAGACGGTCCCTAGTCTGGGATTGAAACCGGGTTCTTCGTGCTGTAATGCGACAGTGCTAACCACTGCACCACCGTGCTGCCCCAAAACACTGTCAAATTGAAAGTACTGAATGGTGGAGGTAGACCATTACAGCTTTTCACCATTTTTGTGTGTAGGGTTTTTTGGGCAGGGCTGAAATCATGGCTAGATGATGCACTGGAGCCATGACCCCTCCCCTAACACGATACAACAACTAGAGACATAGCATCAGTGGTTTTGCTGCTCAACCGTCAGTTACAACACCAACTTACCAAAACCTGCTAGCTAGCAGTGGTGTACTGGCCATCTGGCGTATCGGGACAAATTCCAGTGGGCCTCTACATCCGTGGCCCTGTGGACCGTCAAAGAATCCATTTAGTTTTTTACCGGCCCTGCAGGTCTCCTTATGGGCCCTCTCTGTGCCTTTCATTCAGGGTGTGCATTAAAGCGTGTTGCATGCATGTTCCAGTCAAACTTGTGCTTCCGTCATAGGCTCTGCCGTTGGCTACTCCGACGCTACTGTTAAACAGTGGATCAATTATTTTGAGCAAAATGACTCTTTTCACTGTCCGAATTTGATGAATTTGGTCCAATAACATTTGGAAAGTCTGCAAGAGCTGTGCGATTGAATTATTTGATCCCCATTCAAGTTAGCATAGTGCTAAAGCGGAAGTTAGCGGGCTCGGCCACTGGAAGTCTGTGGTACTCAAGCACAGCCCATAAAGCATGCATGTTCACATTATGCTAAAGTAGCATGCAGCAGTGAGATGGCCGACATGTGGTATATCCAGCAACTATAATCAACCCTCACCCATGACTGGGCGTGGTTTCAGACCATCATTTCAGAGCAGAGAATATTGCTTATTCTTTCCACGGTTTTCAAACCTAATTGTATAAACAAATCTGCTGGGTGATTAATAACACATTTTTCCGTGGAGTGACGAACTCGGAACACATTATTTTTACTTTATCCAGACTTTAAGTCCTGTCCAGTTTCTACCACAAACAGTAGTATAGTGATCAGTCATTCCAGGGCATAATAACAGCAATGCATGATTTTATAATACATAGTTTACTGCTATTTTCTTACACAGGCC